GTGGCCAAGATGGCCAACTAGAAGTAGATAGGGTGAGTAGCTCTCACAAAGAGGAGCAAAAAGGGGAGAGTAAATACAGCATCTTCAGCTGAAACGTCCAAGTACTCTCATTGGGAGTAATCAAGGAAACAATTTGAGCCATGGAGAACAGAGAAAAGAAAGGCAAGATGACAGCCCACCTGGGAGTGACACCTAACCAAGTGAATTGCCCCTGGGAAGCGGAGAGTGAATATGTGACCCTGGAAACCACACTCTTCCCACAGATCTTTGCCGTTCAGGAGTTGGGAGATCCCCTCCTGAACCCATTCCACCAGGGCTTTCAGTCTAACACACAAAGCTACCAGGAGTCTTGGTAGAGCAGCTGTTCAGGCACACATTGGAGCTTCCCAGCAAAAATAACTGCAGCTCTAGCAAAGCGGGACATTAGATCTCTGTGCATACCTTTAGGAAAGAGGCTGAATCCAGGGGGCCAAGCAATGATAGTCTGTGGGCCCCACTTCCATGGTGCCTCAAAGGATAAGACCCATTGGTTTGGAATTCCAGCCAGCCACCTGCAGCAGTGTTGTGCCTACCTGGGACAAAGTTCTCAGGGAGAGGGGCAAGCCACCATCTTCACTGTTTGGGTGAGTCACCTTTTTCATCCTGAAGGCTTGGGAGAGTCCAAACCTATCAGGGGCGGAAGGGATCCCCCAGTACAGCACAACTGCTATGCCAACACATGACCAGACTGCATCTAAGCAGGTCACTGAGTCATCCCTCATTATTGGGCAGGACCTCCCAACCAGGGCCTCCAGCCATTCCTGCTGGTGTTCTCTGGCCTGCAGAGATTTGTAAACTTCCTGGGACAAGGTCCCAGAGGGAGGAGTGAGCTGGCCATCTCTGCTATTTGGGTCCGAGCCTGTCCAGCCTGCAGGCTCTGAAGAGCTCAAGCCAACTAGCAATGAAGCAGTACCCCAGCACTGTACAGCTGCTCTACAAAAGCAGGGACAGACTGTTTCTTTAAGAGAGTCCCCAATCCTCTTTCTCCTAACTGGATAAGATCTCCCAACCAGGAACTCCAGTCACCTTCTACAGGTGCGTTCCACCTGGCAACAGATTCATACCTCTCTGGGCTGGAGCTTCTAGAGGAAGTGGTAGGCTACCATCTGTGCTGTTTTGCAACCTTCACTGGTGGTACTGTCAGCTTCTGGAAAATCCAAGGCAACTGGGGACTGGAGCAGATCCACAGCAAACCACAGCAACCCTATGGAAAAGTGACCAGATTGTGTGAAGAAAAACAAAACAAAACAAAACAAAAAAACCCAATCTCAAAGACTGAAGGTAGATAAGCCCACAGAGATGAGAAGGAATGAGAGCAAGAATGCTGAAAATTCAAAAAGCCTAAGTGCCCTCTTTCCTGCAAGTGACCTCATTACCTCTCCAGCAAGAATTTGAAATAGCCAGTATAGAGAAGAACTTAATCCTTCTGATAGGGCTGAAAAACACACTACAAGAATTTCATAATACAATTACAAGTATTAATAGCAGAATAGAAAAAACAGAAGAAAGAATTTCAGAGCTTGAAGACTGGCTTTATGAAATATGACAAGCAGACAAGAATAGAGAAGAAAGAATGAAAAGGAATGAACAAAACCTCTGAGAAATATGGAATACCATATCACACCATTCAGAATGGCTATTACTAAAATGTCAAAAAATAACATCCTGTCAAGGTTGCAAAGAAAAAGGAATGCTTACACACTGTTGGTGGGAATGTAAATAAGTTAAGCCATTGTGGAATATGGTGTGGCAATTTCTCAAAGACCTAAAGACAGACATACCATTCAACCCAACAGTCTCATTACTGGTTATATACCCAAAGAAATATAAATCATTCTGTTATAAAGACACATGCATGTGTATGTTCATTGCAGCACTATTCACAGTGGCAAAGGCATGGAACCAACCTAAATGACCATCAGTGATAGACTAGATAAAGAAAACATGGCACTTATACACCATGGAACACTATGCAGCCGTAATAAAGAATGAGATCAATGAGATCATGTCCTTTGCAAAGACATGGATGGAACTGGAGGCCATTATCCTTAGCAAAGAAATACAGAAACAGAAAACCAAATATCACATGTTCTCATTTATAAGTGGCAGCTAAATGATGAGAACATATGGACACATACAGGGGAATAATACATACTGGGGGCCTTTTGGAGGATGATGGGTAGGAGGAGGTAGAGTATCAAAAAACAACTAATGATTACTAGGCTTAATACCTGGGTGACAAAATAATCTATACAACAAATCCCCATGACACAAGTTTACCTATGTAACAAGCCTGCACTTGTACCCCTGAACTTAAAATAAATGTTTAAAAATAGAGAAAGAAAAAGACACTAAAAGCATGAAAAGAAATGAAAGCATAAAACTCACTGTAAAGTATAAAACTCAATGTAAAGATAAAATATAGTCAAATTCAGAGTGCTCTAATGAATTTGTATGTAATTGTAGTATATAAGGAAATTTTAGTCTTAAAATCACTTTTCCTCTAGTATAAGAGTTAAAAAATAAAAGTATTAAAAATAGCTTCACCTAAAAAAAAAGAACTTCTACAATGTCGTCTTTTATACGAGAAAATACTACAATTCATTCTGTATAATCTTGGCTTTTCTCTTTTGATTTTCCATATTCATAAAAATTTTGAAGAAATTAGTTTCTCATATGCATCTTGATATATATGACATGTGATTTGTTTCTTTTTTTTCCCCCAAGACAGAGTCTTGCTCTGTCATCCAGGCTGGAGGGCAGTGGTGCAATTTCTGCTCGCTGCAACCGCTGCCTCCCAGGTTCAAGCAATTCTGCTATCTCAGCCTCCCAAGTAGCTGGGATTACAGGCATATGCCACCATGCCTGGATTTTTTTTTTTTTTTTTTTTTTTTTTAACTAGAGATAAAGCTTTACCATATTGGCCAGGCTGGTCTGTAACTCCTGACCTCACAATCTGCCTGCCTTGGCCTCCCAAAGTGCTGGGATTACAGGTGTAAGCCACCACGTCTGGCCGTGATTTGTTTCTGATATGCATCTTGACATATATGATGTGAATAAAAAACAATTATTGTGACTTTGGTTAAGAAAAAAAAATGGCCATCTAAGTTTCTTTCCAATACCATGTATCTATAATTCTTACTCTGAGCCATTCTTTTGGTATGGCATGAATGAAAAGAATTTTAGAAAGCAACAGTAATTGGCAGTCATATAGATCTATATTGGATGCATTAATAAAATATACTAATGTCAATGAATTGATAACTGTGACCTCTATAGGAGTTAACCTTTTAAGGGTATAGTAACATATTTACATTCTGTATCAAACATTAGGCAAACAAATCAACTGGTATAACATTATCTTTTTGTGAATCTGTCATAAATAAATTTTATTAATAATCTAGAATAGCAGCCTAACCACCAAGGCTTTTTAAATATTCATGTGTCATGCAATTTGTTAAACTGTTGCAAGAAATTGGCACTCATTATGTGACATATAGTCTGATATGATATTTTGGTGAATTGGAAGATATCATATAGATTAACTGCACATTTTTCACCTTTTTTGAAGGATGACATGGCAAAAATTAAATACTCTATGTTTTATCAAAGAAAAAATTATGAGTTATGGTCCTTGGGATAAATGGAAGTCAACATGAAAATGACTTAATAGGCAAATATTAATTATCTACTACATTTTCAGGAATATGTAAAATTGCAATGTGAAGATAGTCATTGAAAATGTATCTTTTACACTTGAGATGTTTGTATTCAGACATTTCTTGAAGATAAAACTGATAGCATATGCATTTTAAAATCAGGGTAAACTCAGAGATTTCTGCTTTTCACAGGTGATAAGAGCAATGCATACTTTTCTGAGAGGCAGATGAGGATTCAAGGCCCATGACCAAATCTTGCCATTGCTCCACTTCTTATGTTTTTCTGGTGACATTATGTAGGCTAAGATTGTTTTTAGCCCTAGAAACTCTGATAGCATGGAATTGCTAGTTTGCTGGACAGAGCCAGTCCAACCCAGTGCCTAAGAAAATCTAAAACCTTAGGGAGATTTCCTAGTATCAACTACATTACTGATTTAGGTAATTGCTACCTTCTTTTACTACATTCCTTAGAAATGAAAAAAAAAAAAAAAAAAAAAAAAAGAGCATGTACCAGTCTGCTTTCCCATTCCTATGTTTATAATACACACACATCCAATTACAATGTTTCCCAGGAAAATTCTACCTCAACTATCCCAGAAAATTGGATTGCTAAAAATGTGAATAAATTTCAACCTTCATTAGCACTGTCAGTTTCAAAGTACTGTCTAATGCAGACAGGTTTTATGTTGCTCGCACATCCAAATTATTAGTTGTGACTGTTGAAAATAGTATGTTAATTATAAGCCTGCAGACTCAGCTCAACTGAAGAGAGTGTAAAAGACACAAGCAATATCACTTCTTGGTCTAGGAAGGGGTAAAGGTCTTAGATATGTTATATATTTGTGATTCTTTCTCTTATGTGCTGAGCTTCGTACGGATATCTCCATTCTAATATAGATTTCTTTTCTTGTTGTTTGTTGATGGCCGGAAATTGTACTGAATAATATCTTAAATACATCTCAACTTAATGATTTCACATTTTATAGTACTTTGTCTATATAGCACAATTTCTAAAATAGGTACTTTTATTTCCCTAGATGAGCCAGATCATCTTAGTGAATTCTGGGATTCAACTATAGGATCTGGGAGGGGCTCTAATATGGGAGAGTTCGTGTATACACTTACTTATCCTTCAACTATAGAAAACTATGCTTCATGCATAGTAAGCTAAGCCAGGCAAAAGTTATTTTCCTTAAAATGCACATATAAATACCAGATATTATAAGATTATTATTTTTATCATTACTAGATATTAGAAAAGTACTCAGTTTTAACCATATTATTTTATGTTATTTATTACAGGACAGCATGAAAGAAATTGGTAGCAATTGCCTGAATAATGAATTTAACTTTTTTAAAAGACATTTATGTGATGATAATAAGGTAATGATAATTATTTGGAGTTTGTCATTCAAGCTTGATTTTATAAAAGCTTATATTTTTTGTGCCTCTCTTAGATGATTACATGAATACAATTAATATATGCAGTCTGGCCACATAATTCCCATGGATTAAATCATACTATGGTCCTCTTTTATATTTTCATTTTACAAATAGTACTGTGTTTATTAAATAACAATTTTCTTTTCTGTTTTACTATTCTATTTTTTACCTTGGAAATACTATAATTGTTGAATTCAAAGACACATCTGTCTCTTATTTCTAAATTTCTTTTTTTTTTTTTTTTTTTTTTTTTTTTGAGACAAAATTTCACTCTGTCACCAGGCTGGAGTGCAGTGGTGCAATCATGGCTCATGGCAACCTCTGTCTCTCAGGTTCAAGCAACTCTCCTGCCTCAGCCTTCCGAGTAGCTTTGACTACAGGCATGTGCCACCACACTCACCTAATTTTTGTATTTTTTAGTAGAGACTGGGTTTCACCGTGTTGACCAGGATGATCTCAATCTCCTGACCTCATGATCTGCCCATCTCAGCGTCCCAAAGTGCTGGGATTACAGGTGTGAGCCACCGCACCCAGCCTCTAAATTTCTTATACAGAAAAATACTTGTTAATGTGATTGCTTGCACACATACAAATATAAGTCATTCATATAATTTAGCTGGAAGTATCTTGAAGATGTTTCTTTCAATATTTGCTTATCACTAAATGATTATCACCTCTAGTTGGTATAATATTACACTTTGAAAAACCTAAAAAGCTTATGCTATTTCTCCCTACAGAAATTAGTGTGCTACTTGATAGTCTTTTTAAAATTCACAGTAGCTAAGTTAGTCTCATAAATTCTTTTTTTAGTCTTTAGCTTTCTTTTTTAGATTTCAAAATAAATTTTTAATTTCTTAATTAAAATATCTGAAAAACTTACGTTTTAGGTGACTGCAGTCCTTTATTTTCCTATTATCAGATATTCATCTATAGATCAGAAGATGCAAGAAATACTAAGAAAAACCATACATACCTCTTATAATACATTGTTGCTTCCAGAAGCCTTCTCCTTTGGTTATTATGCTTAAAATCAAATAATCTTGTAACATGTTCACCCACAAGCGATAAAATCACATAGGCATAATAGAGGAAAGAAACTTTAAAAGTCAAGATAATCATTAAACCAAGTTTACGCACTTCATGCTGTCACCTAGGAGCTAAACAGTTTTAGTTCTGTAACTTGTCAGGAACGTGATTAACTGGAATAGAAAGCTGGGGTGGAGGTGGGGCATTACTTAGCAATACAGCTCAGGCTCTAGGCTCCTTAAGAAAGCTTATCATTTCTTAATATTTTATTTGAACCACAGCCCTTCTGACTTTTTCCTATAATAGGAAGGTATGTTTTTATTCCGTGCTGCTCGCAAGTTGAGGCAATTTCTTAAAATGAATAGCACTGGTGATTTCGATCTCCACTTATTAAAAGTTTCACAAGGCACAACAGTACTGTTGAACTGCACCAGCAAGGTAAGCTAAGGACTATTTACTTTAAATAAAAATATAAACTCCTGTGCCAAGACACCACAATTCTCTGATGATCATATCCATTATCATAGAATCCTAAGTGCTTATTATCATCTAGATTTGAAGTATTTTTTACTCAATTCTAGAAGAGGAAAGACTCAGTTTGGAAATACCTATGTATCTCTTGGCTAGACTGAAATGTTTGTGAAAGGAGAGTAACAAATAAATAAATAAATGCTTCATTGCCATAATAACTTCCAAGGATACTAGGGTGATATATTGGGTGGGGAATGGTAAATTTCTATCTCTAAAACATATTAATGGTTTTCATCCATATGTGTATACATTTATAAGAACTCCTAGTCAGTAAAACAGAAATTCAAATGTATTTAACAAATATCTTTATATGCTTAAATTAGGCATATACATGTCCAACAAATTCCCTTTATTTAAATAATTTTGATACAAATAGGGCTAATTTTTTCCTACTTTTCCGCTAGTGGTTATGAACTAAAATAACAAAACCAAATATGGAAGACATTATCTAGAGACTAGACAGCAGTTTTCTTATCTACATATGCAGAAAAATATACTGTCTACATTGTAGGATTTGAAAGGATTAAATGACATAACACATATAAAGTGCTTAGTGATAAAAAGCTTTCAATGTTTAATAAAATGTTTCATTTTATTTTTATTATTCACCTCTTTATGGATTTTACCAACTGACACACAAAGTCAAAAGTTATTTTACGGTTTTAAATGTTTTCCTACATAAAATTTTTATGACTTAATAAGAATTTTGTTTTGTTTGAGCAGTAGTTTCCCATAGAAGGTAAAATGGTAAGATTATCTTTGAACCCTATGACAATGATAAATGTAGATTATCTATTGTATAACTTGGGCAACCTCATTTATCATTGCTTTATGTACTTGACGGAAGCCAGTGTCCTCTTGGTGTGCTGGATTTGCCAAGCTTATTTCCAATCTTGGGCCCTTACCTTTATTTCTGAGAAGGCATTTCTACTTTTTTTTCCCTATAATTTGGATCTGTTTGGTTCTATGCCTTCATGGCCTAGCTCAAGATTCATAAAGACTGACTACTCTAGTCTACAATTCTTCATTCCTACTTGCAGTGATTTCAAAATACTGTCTAATGTAGATAGGTTTTATGTTGCTTGTACATCCAATTAATTAGTTGTGACTGTTGAAAACACTATGTTGATTATAAGCCTCCAATCTCGTCTCAACTGAAAAGAGTGTAAAACAGACAACTGGTATCACCTCTTGGTCCAGGAAGGGGTAAAGGTCTTAGCATGTTAAATATTTGTGATTCTTTCTCTTATGTTTTGAGCTTTCTGTGGATCATCATGTCCCAAATTAACTAACTATAGAGAAACAAAATGTGCAAATAATTTAAATCTTGAAATTAAATTGTATTACATTAATTAATTTGATACAAGTCACCTTTTTCTTGAAATAACAAAGCAAGATGTTAAAGCAGTCAGCTACATTCAATTTTCTTCATGAGACAGGGATGTTACAAGCTTTTTATTATTACTATTACTATTGTTTTATTTCATTTTGTTTCTGATAAGTGAAGCTTAATAAAATGTATGGCCAGGATTTAACAATTTCTTGTTAACTTTATTTTTATATTAATTAAAATTTAAGTTTTATCTCTGCTAGTATATCCTACTATGTTCATTTTTCATACCTCACAGCAGTTAACACAGTGCTAGGCAATCTACAAAATTATGGATCCTGGGTATTCATAAGATTGAACTCTCTTGCTTCTTCCTGACATTCCAGTTCTAAATCATATTAATATTTTGCTATCTTAACAATAAGAAATTTAAAATAGAGTCTCAAATAGATTAGACAAGCTGAAGGTGATATGAAAATTAGCAATTACAAACAATTGGAGGATCAATGAGGAACTATTCAGTACTATAAATGTGACTTTGTTTTTAAGGTTAAAGAAAGAAAACCACCTGCCCTGGGTGAAGCCCAACCAACAAAGAGTTTGGTGAGAATAATTATATAATTTTCCTTATGGTTCATAAGCTCTTTACTCACCTTAATTCTTAATTTTTCATTTTGAATTGTTTCTTTTTTATAGCTGGTTTTGAAATGATTTATTATAACATTGATAAAAGGAGAAGTGAGGTGCCCCTCAAAATTGGGAGTCTTTTAAATTGCATTTTATAAACCCACTATTTTAAAATAGAAGCTGTTGGGAGAAATATCAAAGCATATTTTTAAAAGGCAGCAACATTAAAATATTGTAGCTAGCAGGTAAAAGACATAAACAAATAATTTATATAGGAGAAAATAAAATAGATGACAAATACATGAAGAAAAATAATCATCCCTGTTACTTTATAAAGAAATAAAAATTGGGCCGGGCACGGTGGCTCAAGCCTGTAATCCCAGCACTTTGGGAGGCCGAGGCGGGTGGATCACGAGGTCGAGAGATCGAGACCATCCTGGTCAACATGGTGAAACCCCGTCTCAACTAAAAATACAAAAAATTAGCTGGGCATGGTGGCACATGCCTGTAATCCCAGCTACTCAGGAGGCTGAGGCAGGAGAATTGCCTGAACCCAGGAGGCGGAGGTTGTGGTGAGCCGAGATCGCGCCATTGCACTCCAGCCTGGGTAACAAGAGTGAAACTCCGTCTCAAAAAAAAAAAAAAAAAAGAAATAAAAATTAAACAATTAGGACCTATCTTATACCTCTTTTATTAGTGTAGATTGTACAGTATAGATAATATATAATAGTATATAAACACTATGTATTTATATGTATACTACTAGAAATTATTAGAGAAATTATACAATAATATAAAAAATATTTATGAATGACTTAACAAGGCAGAATACTTAACTGAATCTGACTAAACTTTAATATGATATAGGCATTAATTAGGTTGAGGCATAGAAAAATGAGCACACCTCATTCATAAAAGTGATGGCTTCTTTTACATTTCTATTACTTGACAAATAGCTTTATGGCAACATGGAAATTCCTTACTCTTTTTCAGAAAAGCAAAGTCAGTCTGTACACTCTGGGATTTAGGAAACTCTAGGGATTCCATACAAAGTGGAACATCTGAAATAAATACAGGCGCTAAAAGCAATATAAATACCCTGAAGACTTTTGACTAAGAGAATTTGGAAAGAAAGTTCAGAAAAGAAAGAAAACAACTGTATTCCCAGGCTTGCAGGGGTAAAACCAAGATTCCCTATTTTTGTCTTTTCAGTGAATGCTTATTCTTGGTCTTTGAGGAAAGCATGAAATTTTCACATCTATATATTTCAAATCTGCTTAGGCAAGATTTGAAATATATAGATGTGATATTTCACATTGTATATTTGCACTTAAAAAATTTCAATTTGCATTTAAAAAATTGTCTGGGACCTCTTCTTGGAAAGAATATGAAAAGTTTGCCTTTATATTTCCCTTTGAGATCTGTCATTTAATGTTTGAAATGTGTTCTTTAAAAAGTATGTGCTAGTGTTACTAAATGCATGACAAAAAGAGATACGAGTTTGTAGCCAAATTAAAAATAGGAGAGAGAAACTCAAGATTCTGTCATTATGTTTACTTGACATATGACCTTAGCAGCTTATTTATCTTCTTTGCAGATCAGTTTCTCCATCTGTGATATGAGTTTAAATCAAGTTCAAAAGATTATTAAGCAAATAAAATGAAGTATGTAAAACACTGAGCACAATACATAACTTAGAGAATACCCAATAACTTATCTAAATTATCTGGTTACCCAATAACTAGTTATAATAACTAGTTATTATAGGTTTTATATTGCTTGCAATCCAATTACTTAGTATTGATTGTTGAAAGCACTATATTGATTTTAAGCCTCAAGTCTGGACTCAACTGCAAAGAGTGTAAAACAAACAACTGATATCATCTCTTGGTCTAGAAAGGGATAAAGGTCACTGGTATGCTTTATATTTGTGATTAACTAGTTGTTATCTAAGTGAAGAATTAATCTACCCTGCACTTTTCCTATTCTCACAGTTCAGAGGACTCAGAGAAATATTACTGAGTCTATGCAGAGCTACTCCTTTACATGTCTGTTCATGCCAGGTATTTCTTTCTTCCTATTTGTTGTACAGGTAGCTCTTTTTAAGATTCTCATTAGGTGCTAAAACCTAGCTTATGAGGCAGGCATCTGACATATTCTGGTGAAGGTTAATTGTTGGGGTAGAGCTTAGGGCACAAGCTCCATCTGTTATATATATACTTATTAATTATCTTTGCCAAAATAATCTGAGAATTTTCAGAGTCAATTATTCTTTCCACTAAAAATACATTTTTCTATATTAAAGAAAGTCAACTGAGTAATCTACAACTATCATGAAAGTTCAAACAGTATTATTATGTCCACTGTTAAAGTGCGAAAATGGCAGTCAGCTGATGTAGCTCTCTGGAGAATCCTAAATCTTTAATCTCATTGAATTTAATCAACCTTGAATTTTCCACATTATCATAATGATAGTCAGAAATCATCATTTTTAAAATGTCACACAAGATTCTACCTTTTCATTGCACTAGTTTTCAGTATAAAGTAATATGAAAATGTGAGTATTTTAAAATATATATTTTTGTAAATATGTGAAGCTTAAACTTCTTAAAATCTATTCTCTAGGAAGAAAATAAATCTTTAAAGGAACAGAAAAAACTGAATGAATCATGTTTCCTAAAGAGACTACTACAAGAGATAAAAACTTGTTGGAATAAGATTTTGAGTGGCACTAAAGAACATTGAAAAATATGGAGTGACAATATAGAAACATGAACTTTGGTTGCATCCTCCAAGAATCTATCTGCTCGTGCAGTTTTTCAGAGTGGAATGCCTCCCAGAAGTTACTGAATGTATCCTGGTCAAAATGGATTAGATCAATTGAGAAATACATCTTGTCTTACTAGAAGATGGATACAAACAATGGAAACTGAATGCTGCAGTCAACAAACTATTTCATATGTATGTGAACATACATCAATCAGTATAATTCTGTACTGATTTTTGTAAGACAATCCATGTAAGGTATCAGTTGTGATAATACTTTTCAAACCTGTTTAAATATTTCAAGAGAAGACATTAAATCCATGAAGTATTAAAGGTTTCAAAGACTCAAAATTGACATTGCTTTACTGTCAAAATAATTTTATGGTTCACTATGAATCTATTATACTGCATTAAGAGTGGAAATTGTCATCTGTGCTGGAGATGTTTTAGGGTTAACAATGATATATGAATAATACCCATGAGAATAAGAGAGTCATATACCTCAAGGAAGCAACAGCATAACAAATTCCAAGATATGTAAGAGAGATTTCAAGAGATGTAATTAATCATGAATGTGTAATGCAGTGCCTTCAATAAATGGAATAGCAAATGTTTTGACATGAAAAAGGACAATTTCAAAAAAGAAAAAAATAAATAAATTTACCTAATCTAAGGATGCTAAACTTTAGCACTGAGTTACTTTGTCATTTATATAGAATATAATTTGTCTAAATAAGTTGCAATTTGGGAGGTATATTTTAATATAATAATATATGTTTACCTTTTAATTAATGAAATATATGTATTTACTTTTGACACTATATCTGTATATAAAGTATTTTCATACAGCATTACAAATTGCTTACTTTGGATAACATTTCTTCTTTGATAAAATAAATGACCTATGTATTAACACTGCCACATTCAGTTAATAAATCCCAACAGAATTTTTAAGATGAGATTTTTAATACAATGTTGCTATTTGATTTCCTACTTTCATTGAATATATGACGTTTAATAGCCTATTACCAAGAATCAACATGAGACTTTACCTTCAACAGATGCTGGAGAGGATGTGGAGAAATAGGAACACTCTTACACAGTTGGTGGAAGTGTAAATTAGTTCAATCATTGTGGAAGACAGTGTGGTGATTTCTCAAGGATCTAGAAATAGAAATTCCATTTGACCCAGCAATCCCACTACTGGGTATATACTCAAAGAACTATAAATCATTCTGCTATAAAGACACATGCACACGTATGTTCACTGCAGCCCTGTGTACAATAGAAAAGACCTGGAACCAACCCAAATGCCCATCAATGATAGACTGGAGAAAGAAAATGTGGTACATATACACCATGGAATACTATGCAGCCATAAAAAATGATGAGTTTGTGTCCTTTGTAGGGACTTAGATGACTCTGGAAACCATCATTCTCAGCAAACTGACACAAGAACAGAAAGCCAAACACTGTATGTTCTCATTCATAGGTGGGTGTTGAACAACAAGAACACGTGGACTCAGGGAGAGGAGCATCACACACTGGGGACAATTGCGGGCGGCACAGGAGAGACATCGAGGGGTGGGGAGGCAGGGGAGGGTGGGAAGGGATAACATGGCGAGAAATGTCAGATATAGAATGCACCTAAAGTAAAATAAATAAATTAACATAAATAAATAATTAAATAATTTTAAAAATGCAGCCAAAAAAAAAAAATTCTTTCTAGTCTTTCAAAAGAAACCTGTTTGGAAATGTCTGCAATCTTCATTCACTGAGAAAGGGAAAGGGAAACACTATTGTAAGCAGGCCAAAATCCACAAATAGTTTTCAGTTTGCATTGCACTGAATTCACATACTTCATGTTCCTTCTCAGCGTCATCACCATCTAGTTACATGCCTATGGGCTTTATTTGATCTATGGGAGATGCTCCAGTGACACTCTCACTGTGTGCTGGTAACACTTTCCTGCCTTCTCTCACTTTCCCTGACCCATATGACATTTTACCTTCACTGATGCGATAGCTGTATAGAATTGTATACACTTCCATAGAATTTCCTGAATTGTCCCATTAACAAGACTTTGAGTCAAGTGTTTTTTCTGTTTAGTTGTCACTGCTAACTCAAAAAATAGCTGACTAATACTTTTTAGAAGCAAATGATTCTTCTCCAAGCTTTCTTTCTTCAGACGGAATTTCTAAGTAGGTTATGCTCCTTCCATCATAAAACGTGGTCAACCATGTGGTACACTTCTACCCTATGTACTGGACCCCTTGGTAAAACATTAGTTAGAGAAATGAGGAAATTTACATTTCTGAAGGTAAACTCTTGAAACACTCCTTGAAAATGTTTCCTTGAAGGCTATCTACAATGGTCCCTAACAGTGTTAAAAATATATTCTCTTTGAGATTGTGGCACAATATTTTTTTAAATGCTTGTTTGAAAAACGTTATTAAAATTTTCTTCCATGGTTTCCGTTATTTGTTATAATAGATTTGAATTTTTGAGAAAATTGGACTCAAACACTGTATTAAGCTTGTACTGTGTGACAAACGTTTGGAAAAATTACCCACACACGATGGTTTTGTTCCCCTTCTTTGTTTCCTAGCCACTAGCAAGATAGGTTGGTTAATAATGGCTTGGATATTTTAAGTGTCTCAGTTAGAGACTTATCTCAATAAATATTTTCCTTCAAATATATATGTAGATGCTTTAAATCAGCATTTTCTAAATTTTGTCCCAAGAAACACTAATCTTTGTCAATGCTACAAAAAGAAAAAAAAAGTGAGGTATCTCATCATGGTTTGGTTTGCATTTCTCTAATGACCAGTGATGGTGAGTTTTTCTTCACTTATTTGTTGGCTGCATAAATGTCTTCTTTTGGGAAGTATCTGTTCATATCCTTCACCCTACTTTTTGATGGAGTTGTCTTTCTCTTGTAAATTTTGTTTAGGTTCTTTGCAGAATCTGGATATTAGCCCTTTGTCAGATAGATAGATTGCAATATTTTATCCCATTCTGTAGGTTGCCTGTTCACTCTGATGATAGTTTCTTTTTCTGTGCAGAAGCTCTTTAGTTCAGTTAGATCCCATTTTTCAATTTTGGCTTTTATTGCCATTGCTTTTGGAGTTTTAGTCATGAACTATTTGCCCGTGCCTATGTCCCGAATAGTATTGCCTAGATTTTCTTCTAGGGTTTTTATGGTTTTAGGTCTTATATTTAAGTCTTTAATCCATCTTGAGTTAATTTTTGTATAAAGTGTAAGGAAAGGGTCCAGTTTCAGTTTTCGGCATATGGCTAGCCAGTTTTCCCAACACCATTTATTAAATAGGAAATCCTTTCCCCCATTGCTTGTTTTTGTCAGGTTTATCAAAGGTCAGATGGTTGTAGATGTGTGGTGTTATTTCTGGGGCTTCTGTTCTGTTCCATTGGTCTATATATCTGTTTTGGTATTAGTACCATGCTGTTTTGGTTATTTTGGTTAGTGTAGCCTTGTATAGTTTGAAGTCAGGTAGTGTGATGCCTCTAGCTTTGTTCTTTTTACTTAGGATTGTCTTGGCTACATGGGCTCTTTTTTGGTTTAATATGAAATTTAAAGTAGTTTTTTTCTAATTCTGTGAAGAAAGTCAATGATGGCTTGATGAGGATAACACTGAATTTATAAATTACTTTGAGCAGTATGGCCATTTTTACAATATTGATTCTTCCTATCTATGAGCATGGAATAGGTAAGTTAAATTTTCTCTTGGAGGTTCAGAATTCATATAAGTATATTAAAGGCTCTGAAAACTCATTCATGTAGCTGTGAAAAATTTAACAGTAATATAGCATTTCTAAAACTTATTTGATTATATAACATATTTTTACATTAAAAAAAAAAACCCTAACCAAGCACAAGGTTAATATAATTCACAGTATTAAAGCTAATATAAAGCAAGGATAATTCTGCTTTAAAAAGGGTCTCAGTTAAAAGTATTTTAAAACAGGTTTTCAGTGAATATGCTGAAGGAAATGCTCTTTTCAGGATTAAGATAATTTTCTTAAAGTTGATCTATGGGAAACCTGAACTAGAAAAGTTTCTTTGCTTTAGGCTGTATTTTTATTGATAGCCATCTTAAGAAGGACATTTTGTCAATCCTATCACTCTGCATAAATATTCCTCTAAAAACCCATATATTGTACTATAAGCCAGATAATCTTTATTGTACTCAGTACATGCAATATTCATTCATCACATTCTTACTGCTTAGATTGTTGTTGCAAATTCTATGCCAATCCTGCTTAAGGTTCACCTGCATCTCAATTCCTTTTCCTCAATTGCTAATGACTTCAATAATAATTCTAGATAATATTAATATATGTTCCCTTAGTGTTCATAGTATTTAAACCTGCATCAATATTATTTGACCAGATTCATCTTAGTAATTTATCTTAAATACAATTTAAATAATCTGCTCATTTGAAATGTTTTACCTACCCTAGAATTATAATCTTTGTCTTCTCTTTAGCTCCTAATGGGAAAAGCTAGACATATGTTAGTTAATAAGTTAACAGGAATTGCATTGTGCCATTCTGTTATTAATATCCATTTAAATAATCTAGAAAACATATTTCTGCAATGAAATGTAACTTACTTAAAGATGATATGATAGGCCCACAAAACATAACTAATTTAGGACATTATGGCCCAACAACTTTGTGTATTCAAAATATCTATGCATGGAATTGGGTGCATTCAGAGTGATATGGTAGAATTTTCTTTAATTTCTAAATTTCATTTGTTGTGCAACATCTTTTAGCTTTGATTCTGACCAAATAACAGAATCTATGGAAGTATCATAGGACAAGACAGTGAAATAAGTAGGCACATTGATAATTGCAAATTCTAACAGTTTTCAATGTCTAAATATAAAAATACATGCATTCATAGACCCACAAAGTTAATATTTGAGAAAGGTGCTAAATCATCATTTTGTCTTGGGAATAATCTGAGGTTTGCTTTACATAAAAAGTGGTAAGAATGAAGTGCATTTTTCTATAGAAGGCATCAATTTTCTAAATGGGGGAGAGGTTAGTGTTGCTTAAGATACTGTTCTAAAGTGAACTAATTTTATATTCCTATTTTACATGAATAAAGTTAAGACAAGTGGCAACATTAAAATTTAGGGTTTGCTATTTTTTTTAGTTTATTTTTTTATTGCATTTTAGGTTTTGGGGTACATGTGAAGAACATGCAAGATTGTTGCATAGGTACACACATGGCAGTATGATTTGCTGCCTTCCTCCCCTTCACCTGTATCTGGCATTTCTCCCTATGCTATCTCTCCCCACCTCCCCACCCCCA